GGGTAGACGTTTATTGCACACCGAAAATGGGCACATGAGGGTCTCGCGCGCGCCCTCGAATATCGACTAGATTTCCGTCCCACCACGCAACACAGGTACGGATGTTAGAGGCGAGCCAGTCCTTTCGCCTCGGGAGCTCTGACTTGGAAGATCCGCCTTCCTGTTTTCGCCTCGATCTCCGCTTCTCTGCACCCGATTTGGATCGGCCAGGAGTCGTTCGAGAGCTCTCGACTTGCTTGTTCTGGGCTGTGTCAATCGGCTCGACCTCGGTCCTGTGGGCTGCGCTAGCGGCGTATTTGTCTGATTTATTGCGCTGTCCACATATTCCCGCTCCGTAGTTCCGGGCCCAGGCTCGTCGCTAGCCGTCTTTCGCGATCCGCTCTCAGCCAGCTCCGAAGAGCTCCCCAGAGCCATTCTTGGAAGCGGCCCCTCTACAATAGGATCGGTAAGGTTGAAGGAAAACACAAGGAGCATTGCAATCCTTCAGCGCCTGGGCTTTGTTTTCAATGGCTTACATGCCAGAGGCAGGCATGTTGTGACAAAGGTATTCGATGGTAATTTGGTTAATTTCAAACTGCTTGGAATTGACGGTAACCTAAATTGGTGTAAATCGTTGTATCACACTAATAAGTTGGATTAACTATATTTCGTCAGAAAAGCTAGTGATGATTAAGCTAAGTAAACATGATCTTCAAATGTTTGTCTAACCTCATGAGCGAAACGTTAAAATGTCAGCAAACTTTGTAAGACTTAGAAGTATTATATGGTACTCAAGACCAAACAACGCAGCTGCTGCAGTTTTACATCTTATGGTGCCTGCACTATTTGAATATAGGCGTAACCTAGGTACGTTCTCCTAAAGGATTAATCCCCAGCAAGAGAAGTGGTTTCGTCGTGTATGTAAGGTATCGCGTAAATATATCCAAAACGGCAACATAGTTGAGTACTATGCAGACTGGAAACTACAGAAAGACGACGAATGCTGGCAAATCCCTGCATTTGAAATTGACCCCTTAGTGCCATTAACAACAACCGATACGCACACGTACGGCTAACGCTGGATGCAGCCAGACAAAGTTAAATGGTAGATTAAGTGACAGACGTTCAGCCTCTACGTTCAATGCAGCATTTGGCTGACGAATACTTCTTTTTGAACACATAGGACTGTCTTATTGCGACGGCCTTGGCAAACCAAAGTTACATTGAACGTTAAGCTGAGTTCTATCCGTTGGCCCAATATTGGTAGATGAGTGCCTATCGAGGCAGCCAAGGGCATACGCGAGCACGGATGTTGAGGGGGTGGGAGTTCTGGGAAAATTTACGCGGAACTAATTTCGGCACATGTTTCTTCATTCGGGGAGTCGGCGTCCTATCAGTACTGCATATGTAACTGACACCGCAGTTACACATGAATTAGTATACACCTTATGAGTTGGTCCCGACAGACTGAAGTTTCTTCGCTTGATGAACAAGTAAACTTCGGGTTCGGTTGATTACAACTAATTGGGCAACGTAGTAACTTCCCTGCGTAGCCAAGCTGATACGCTTAGTTTCCTTAGCTGACTAAAATCACCTCTGAAAGGCATTTCAACATAAATCTCCTTTCCGGCTACCATGTGCACCAAGTCCCTCGACCCTTGCAGTTGACTGTATTTTGATAATAGTAGGTATATTTCTCATCAAAGGAGAAGCTGAATCCATGGTTGGCACAAGTAATATACATACAGGTATTGCCATGCATTTGCATGGGCAATATAAACTGGTGACGAATGAAATATTAAAGACTAACGGTATATTCCTCCACAGTGCAAGGCACTGTCCAAATAGATGGTATGCTCATTATGTACATGGATTTGCAATGAACAGATTTTATAAGTAGTTTTTCAGGGTAGTTCTTAAGCTATCTTTTGTGAGCAGAGCTAATTGTTCGGATGAGTTTTTCGGCAAATTGCGTAGTGGTGAAAAACAATAATCAACGATAAATTCAAATGTTTAAGTGAAGCAAGATGGCTATCCATGGTACCGTCTCCTGGGGATTTGCTTACATGCGGGTTATTTCCTCGATAGTTTTCATCCGCACACCTATGCTCCATCTGACCGTGTGCCGGTGTGACTTCTCTAACAGCTAAGCCATCACCTATTTACCTCATCTTTAGGACTGCTTTTCCGCTTATTTAGTGTGGACACTCAAGCCGTCTAGCCCGTACTATCGATCGATCTTTTGAGTCAGGTACTTTTATTACTCACCAGGGAGTCAGTTGCAATGCGCCTTGCAAGGAGGATAATTATTAGCTTTGAAACCTTAGTCCGTCACCTCTGGATATCGACCGGGTAGTGGCCAATAATGAACTAAAGAGGAATATAAATAATGTGGAGTTAGAAGGGTAGTAACAATAGCCATAACTAAAAATAGCGCATTCTCGATCAAATAGCACAAGAGAAGTGGAGAAAATAGATGAATGCTCATATTATCGACATATTAGATCGTTCTGTAAAGAGTTTTCAGGTTTGCCCATCAGTTGTATGCCATCGCAAAGTTCATAGATTAATATGGAATCGCAATGAGACTTGCTATCTGTTCTTGTGCTGTCTCCTCCGGGAAAATATAAGGCTATTTGTCATTATAATACGCATGCAAAACAAGAACTATAAATAAATAAATAAATAAACGTTTATTCCCGACAATTCGAGGCACACCTTTACAGGCATGATCATATTTAGCTGACATAGTGTGATCAAATTGTACAAAAAGGCATGTTAGGCATAACAGTGTATGTAAGTATATGAGTGCATATAATATGTAATTGTGTAGAAATGTAGCTTGTGTTTTTGGACGCGCCGCAGAATTTTTGACTGTTTGTTATCGTCAGGAATGTGTGAATAAGCGATTGATTTTCGTGGGTTGGATAGCATTTTCCGAATATCCACGGGCCAGTGACTTTAGTTTGTGGCGAGTCACAGCCGCGACGTCGCAGTGCTGTTAAGCAGACATTTGTGGCTTTTTATAGGGAGAAGGCTTGCCAGGCGAAAACCCACCACGTCCTGGAACACTGCCGCCGAACTATTTGATGGAACGGGTTAAACTCGAACCACCCAGCTGGCACCACGAGGAGGTTGTTCGGCTAGCCAGAAGAAGAGTTTATCCAGCCATAGTGCCAGACACGGACTATGTGGTTAATCCGGTCAAATTTTGCAACTGGATCGACAAGAAGCGCTTGTTCTCAAGTTTTGCATAAGGAAATTGGTTCCGAGTCGATATTTCCGTGGTTCAGCCAGTTGGGGCAGCGAAGAGACGTAGGAAGTGTTTTGGACAAGTTTCGGTAATCACTCCGTAGTTGGTGTTTTGATACCTTAAGAAAAACGTGTGTTAGAAATACAGAAAAAGATTTTTCCATGAAGAAAAGGATGCGGTAAAGCTGGGTTGACTTCGAATCAGAGAATTTTGTTGTTTAATATGTGACACTCGGCCCTTCCTCATACATGGTTGTACTCACATCTATGTTGAACATGTCTCTCACTCTGTTTACTGACATTCATGTGTTTACTAGAGGATAGCTGGCCTCCATAAATATTGGCATAACTAACCTGAGCTCATTGGTCAAACGGTCGGCCGAGTAGATTCTTCTAGCACGAATAATAAGGTCTTTACGAGTGTTCGATTTTATCGCACTAGGGCGAGTACTGACTGGACCAGCTTGAGTTTCGGTAAAACGTCCCCTCAAACGATCAATTCCCTCTACGACTGATGGTGACGTCCAGATATAGCAGGTAATTTTCATGGTTTATTTCGCAAGTGGCCCGTAAGTCGGCACATGTTTGATTACGACGTTTTACCATGTATGTTGCTCCGATGAACAAAATGCCAAGATATCGTGGGGAAGCTTCTTAGGTGTTGGATTCCAAAATAACGTTTCGTCATCGTTGGATACCGCATAGATTGAAAAACTTGAATTCCCATTAATGTATTTGGATGCTTCCACAAATTAACAGCACAGGAACCGATAAAATTGCAAAGGTGGATGCGTAGTGCTGGTAAGTTATGGTGGACGGAGATAATTTATGTCGGAGTAACATTTGAACTGTAGTCAATGCAGCTGGTAGTGATGTCAGATTACCTTGTATAATCTCCCACCAGTCCTGGTAACAAATGCCGGCCGCTGGGCGAGTGGTCTGCTTTCCTGGTTTGCAACCATAAGGTCACCAGTTCGAAGCCGCATAGGGGTGGGCGTCAACACGGTATACTTTGTCCACGAACGACTAGTGGCGGTCGCGTGGCAACGAAACGCCGTTACGGCGTACAGCTGGCGATTTGTTTTCTTATTATTTATTATGTAACCAATAGACATCTGTGTATTATTTATACGATACATAAGATACATACCCTCCCACCAGTGCGTTAACCGCGCGATGTTCGAGGGACCGGGAGTATATCCCGGTGAGAAAAGCCGGTAAAAGGTAAACTCTACCTGCTACAGTGTCACACAAGTGTGTGAGACTGAGGCGTGACAGACATGCAGGCTAAACTTGTGTATCTAAGGTACAAAACAAATTGTGGGAGCAAATGAAGACTCGGCGACTTAAATGATTTTATTAGTCTTGCTACTGGTACACAGTGCAATCCTGTCATTCTTTTTGTTGCGCTAGAGGTTTTCCTTCAAGTCCTGGCAGATGCTGGAGATCAATAAGCGAAAGAAAACTGGCAGCAGGTAGCACAGCCAAGTGATCAGCATAACATTATGGTACTTTCAAAGTGCACAGTACACTAAGCGGTCTGAAATTGGAATCTCGTTTTTGACCAAGTCTGACGTGTATTTATATTCTGTTTTGGCTTGTTAGGTCTTAATGTTGGTGGGTCGATTTCAACAAGCTTTGCTGGTTACTGCGCATGTATTGTGTTTGGATGACTTGCTGATTGCTGCTTTCAACATGCTTCGATATACGCTGGCTTAAGTTGGTCTACAGAATCCACATCGTCTTTACCATTCTTGTTGATCTTATAGTATTCTTCTACCATTAGGATAACCTTAAATGGACCTTCGGACGATGACTGCAATCGCCTGCCAACTGCAACATTTCGTAACCACAAGTATGAACAAGTTGTCAGACCTATGGTACGTAACCCCTGTTGGTTTGTGCACGTGTGGCAGTAAAATGCAAATCACGCATCGATGAACGTAAGTGATAGACAAAGTATGAGGGATATACAGCGTTGGCGTCGATTTTTGGAACGAGGTCAGCTAGAAGGTTTTACGTAGTACCGTATACCAGCTCCGCGGCTGAACAACCTAACTCAGCTTCAGGTGTCATCAGAAGATCAAATAAAACCAGTAGTTAAGTTCCGTTCCATCGCGTAGCATCGGAAGGCGCCATCAACGAAGTTTTAGAATGGAGCTGGAACGTTCGACTAACCAGTTTTTGCTGTTGGAAGGTACGCAGTTGTTCTTATTCACTTGGCTCCGAGAATATTAGCTAACTCGCGATTCAAACTGCGCATCTCGATGAGTTGTTGTGGTAGATGGTATGCCATAATGCGCGATCCAGTGAGCTACCAACTCGTGTGTTACCGTCTCTGCGATGAGTGCTGCCACAGGCTAAAGACCCTAACGAACTGTCAGTAAGGATTTATATCCACTGCACAGCGGTAGCGGACCGACAGTGTTGATGTGAACGTGCTTGGAACAAGCATCAGGAACCATGAAAATGTCAAGTAGTGCCTGTGTATGACGCTGCATTTCGGTGGGTTTACAGAGAGGGCAATTTCTCATCATGGTCTGTACTTCTTTTTCAGTACTGGCGACGTCAAGCCGCCGGAAATGAGCTTGCGATTTGCACGGATGCGTGGATGTGCTAGACCATGTAGTGAATCAAAAAGGACTCGCCGATAGGTCAGTAGAACTACAGATCGGGGCTTTTGTGTAAAAACGTCCCACATCATAAGATGCGAACTGTCAGGCGTCATAATGGGTTTCGCTTGTAGTTGTTCAAGGGACACCTGTTCTTACGCTGTGCTGGGGCTAATTCCTATAGAGCGATTGAGGAATGTTCAAACAGGGTGTTGATTACCGCCCGTGATAAGCCACCTGCTACGGCTTCATTGCACTTGACAAGTTTTGTATAGCAGAGATAAATTGGCTAATGTAGTCCAAGTGTCAAGTTTCTCGATGGGAAAGACGATGGAAAGCGGAACGCAGTGCATGCCTTAACGGTATATGATCGGTGAACACCGTGAAAGTACGTCCCTCCAAGTGATGTCAGAAATGGCACACATTAAGGTAAAGGACTAGAATTTCTCTGATGAACCTACCATAGAGTCGTTCTGCAGGCTATGGTTTTTTAGAGCAAAGGCAACCTAACACAATTCCTCTCCCAGTAGGTGTTGTAACGCATCACCTACTGTACCTCTGAAGCGTCTACAGTTAACTGTAACGGGACCCAAGAGTCCAGATTCAAAAAGAGAGTTGCAATTGTTAGCTAATGTTTTACATAATTAAATGCTTTTTTAACGGATTCCGTAAAGCAGAATGAGTTAGTATCTTCTTTGAGTAGATCGGTAAGTGACTGGGCTAACTCCGAACACTGTGGAGTGAATAGTCTGTAGCAATTAACTATGCATACAGGCCTAACCATCTGAGAGTACAACGAAAATGGTACTCAGTGATGGCAGAGGCTACGTCCAAATCTGTCGCCCGATTTGGAGCACGAGCGTGGTATCCGATCACGCTCTTGCGTGTGATGACCTGCGAGTGCTTTTCGACGGATGTCCGCAACGTTACTGTGACCGCATAGACACCAGACAACTGGCGAAGCTAGATGTTCTGAATGCGTATTAAAGTACGCTAGCATTCGGGTTGAGCAAGCGCCTCCTAAACACCGTTGATCACCAGTTGCAAATTCGTCAAACATTACTATCAGTAGGCATGTTTTCATGTGGCAAATCAAATTGACAGTCGGGTCTTCGCATCTCTACATATTCTTTGGAATTTCTAGATGCTCGCCGACGAACTCCGGTAGGAAGCGGTATCCAACGATGACGAAACGCTGTTTTCAAATCCAACACCTGAAAAGCTCCCCACAATATCACTTGCAAAACGTTCATAGTGGCGTACTTGAGATAACTTTGTTGAAACGCTTCTATATATACTTAGCATGAGGAAATCAACGAGCACATTGCCCAGTGAGCTGCCTAACGCTATGTCATCAACTTCGCGGTCCGGTAAGTCCTGAAATTGAAAGAGTTTTGTTCATCAGAGCAGCAGTTCGGGCTGTTGGTAGTGCGTTTTGATCGATCAAATGCCGACTCAAGGGCACCTGTGAAGTAGAGCAGGAAAGTTATCTGCAAAATCTGGACATCCTTACCAGCCGTAGGATTGATCTATTTAGCGATCTATTTACTGAAAGTTGACTTGGTCATGCGAGCAGTTACACTTCAACAGTTTCACACCAGTACGATAAAAGCGGCCATTCGTAAAAACCTTATTATTTGTGCCAGGCGAATCTGCTCGGCAGACCGTTTGACCGATGAAGCCGCGTTAGTTACAACACGTATAGAGAACAGCTATCCTCGAAGACAGTGCGAGAAGCAGTCAGCTGCGAGAGTTGAGTGGTTTAGTGCATATGGCAACCTCAAAGGTTTATACTGAATTACCTTTCAAATATGATTTCCACCATTTGAAGGCAACCAAGTGCATCATCATGGCTACGCAGCGAAGTTACTATGCTGCCCAATTCGTTGTAATCAACCGAAACCTAAGTTTACCTGTCCATCAAACGGAGAAACCTCAGTCTGTCGGGACTAGCTCACACTGCGTATGCAAATTCATGCGTGACTGCGGAGCCAGTTAGATAAGCAGAGCCGAAAGGACCATGTACCGAAATGGGCCCAACGTGAAATTGTCCAGAACTCCGACCTCCCTCAACGCCCGTGCTGACGTATGCCGCCAGCTGCCATACTAGACACAAATCTACTTGTCTCGAGTCACCGGATAGAGCTCAGCTTAGAGTTCAACGTAGTGTTGCATTACTCTGGTCCCCGCTTCATTTGGTCTGTCGCGGCCGTCGCAATAAGATGGATGAGGCCAGTCCTGTATGTTTAAAAACAATTATTCCTCAGCTTGATGCTACATTGGAAGTACAGAATGAACGTCTTTCGCTTAATCTGCAACTTAGATTTGTCTGTTGCACTCTACTTTAGCTGTACGTGTGAAACACGGCTATTGGTAACGGTACTGTGGAGTTAATGCGAACTGTGTGCATCCATTTACTTTCATCCTTTTACTGTGCTTTAAAATTGTTCAAATTTAACCAAATTTGCTTGTACCCACGACAGGGACTCCGTTTACGGTATTTATTTGATACCAAGTTCAGGGCTTTTGCCCGTGATCTCTTGGACGATAGAATTATTACGCATTGGATCAGTTTCTGGAATTCCACTTTAGCCATTCTAATATTTTCTGGGGATATTCTGAGCAGACGTGCAGCAACAGGTGACGTTTGGCGCCATGAGAGCAAAGTCGTTCTGATGGACAACGAGTTAGGGGTGCTGCTTGAAGAGGTCTATGAAGGGCTGTGGAGCTTGAAGTAAGACGCAAATGGTAGTGATCGCGTCAACAACGGCGCTATCTTGACAACAGTAAGATTTATCCGAGCTCCACCTGTCTTCTGTCTTTTAATCTAAACTACGAGGTCTTTATGTTAGAGAAGTTCAAACCCTTTGATAGCGAATTTCACGACTGCAACTGTGACAATCCAGTGATAAATGCACCGGAGACCTAGTTGGAGCGTGAGAAGCTTCTCGTTAAATGTTGTATTTATTGCGCCATTGGCTGCCTGTTGTTTTACGGTCTGAATGCGCTTCCCACATCTGAGCTAAGGGGGATAACAGTGGTTTCGTCTCGGGTACAGGAATTAAAAACACTAGCACGGAGAACGCAATTTTGATTCGGGCTGGTCACTTTCGTCGTTGCTTCATGTTGGCCCAGTAGTTTCCCTGCTTTTCGCTGAAGGCGCAAAGCTTGAGGCAATTGCAGGCTGCGTCACAACATTTGGTTGGACCAATAAAATCCTTGTTTGCCATAGGAGCTTCAACGTCTTGCAAAGGTATTCAATTAACTAAACTGCTAACGTGTCAAGTCGAGCCGTTGAATCTCGTAAATATATGTCACCATTTATGATTGCGAGTCATATATTACTGAATGTAAATGGGTGAGATAGGCAACGTAGAACGGTATGGTGGTGACTATGCTAACCTCTGGTTGTGGCTGGCCCCGTTTCACATGACTCGGTTTTCCAGAGTCTCTAGTTCAGTGAGAGACCCATGGCTCACGACTGCTAGGACCGCTTGCTTGTTCCCCGGTACTCCCTGTAGCCTTAATTCACGAAACAATGTCTCATCCATGGTGAATAAACCAAAGGTTTACTGCATCTCTCTTAACAACCTTGATGGTTGTTGGTTTGCAGGTTTTACATCCCCCAATAGCCGCTGCAGGAGCACTTTTTCAGAAGACACAACGCGCCTAATCGCGGCCTCACTTAGGGCCTCATAGCGGTTTGTTGTCTGGGAAAGGAGGAGGTCTCGGGCCAGCATATATATTTCTTTATGTAGGTATGATAAGTTTTTAGAATAAGCGTACCTTGAATTCATCCTTTGGTTACGAAATTCAAATTCTGGATCATAAAGCCATAAAAGGGACAGAAAGCGAAACAACGTTAACAATGGCAGATACTAACTTAGTGCCTATGAAATGCTTGATAAAATAGGTGCAAACAACGCTACCGGAATCAAAATTTAGAGGAATACATACCGATAAAATACCTTAAACAGTCTGACCGGGGCGAAATGCAACATAGTCGGCACTGGGATGGTAGTAACGCTAAATATCTGTAATTCGGATCAGCAGTTGAGTTGTTGATAAGCTTATCGACTTGAGAAATCTGTTTGCAGATGCTCAACGCTTCCCACTCTTCGTTGCAGAGAGAGCTTTACTTGCAGTTACGCTTCCATTGATAGCAGCCATTCTTCCCACGTAAATTGTTACTAAACGACATTCCCCCACGAAGTGCCAATGATAAACTGCTGACAAATCGCTTACAAGCACTGGCTATCATCAAACAT